ATGTGCGGATGCCGCACAGAAAAAATTAACATTTTGTAAGTAGTGCGCACACTTGTAAATAGTTGCTTATAGTTTTTTTTGATTTGCTGCACAGAAAAGTTTCTAAATTGTGCGGTATCCGCACAGTAAATTTTAACTGAAAAATTAACACTGGTTACTACGTACCTTTTTACAGTTTTGCTAAAATTTATTATAGCACAGTTTCATTTTCAAAGACTGGTTTAACCATTAAATATTGTAGGAATTGACAAGTATACAAAATCGATTAATAATAGGTAAGATTTTAGCATATCTAAAATAAGATTGATGTCAACTTTTTAATTGATTCAATTTATGGCCAGTATATTTTTATACCCAAAATGCAATATGATTTTTCCACTATCTGAAAATTCTGATATAACTAAATTATGTGAACGTTAATTTCAAAAAAAAATTTATTTATACAGTGCAAAACAAAAAGATGAGGTTATTATGCAGGTTTGAAAATGTTTATTTATCACTACATAATTGATCATATCGTTTGTACTGTTCATAACAGTCATTTTAATAAAAAGATATCGCATACTTTCATTTAGATATATTCATCAATGCTAAATATACTAAAATAACTTTTATTTATCAACTTTTCTTCTCTGATAACATACATAATCGTGACACAAGTCCAATGAGTTGGAGATGAGTAGAAATGCCTTCCAAAATTTTCATATGAGCGAACCCAATCTCCTTTGAGACAAATATTAATAGGACTTTATTTAGAATAATAGAAAAAGAAAACCAAATGTTTCATACAGAATATTTTTTTTCTCACCTTTATAAAATCTAGTTTTAGTCCCTCTTGCCATTCATTATTAAATTTCACTACACGAAACATTGTTGTAATAATATCCATCGCACTGTAACCTTTTTCCCAAAGTTCAGTTAAACCTGTCAACGCTTCATCCACTTTGTAATTATAACAATCATCAAGAACCTTTGTTACAGCGGCAGGATGCGGTTGATCGCAAACCTTATAAACGTTTTCAGCATTGACAAAACTAAATCCTGTAAACGTTGATTGAAGATTATTGATAGCCTGACGCATATCCCCTTCGGCGGTGAAAATGATAGCTTCGAGGCCTTCTGGATTATACTTCACCTGCATAACGTGTTAATAATAGTTAAGAAAAGAAAGAAAAAACGATGAAAAAATGATGCGACAAACTAATGTACTCACACCTTCAAGTTTACAAATTTCTGTCAACCTCTTCAATATTGCTTTATCCGACAATTTACTATATTTTAAAATAGTGCATCTACTTTGAATTGGTTCAATGATTTTATTTGACGTGTTGCACGCCAAAGCAAACCTCGTCGTATTGGAATAAATTTCCATAGTACGACGAAGTGCTTGTTGAGCACCAGGTGTCATGCTTTATTTTCAAAAAAAAATAAAAGAATAAATTTTTACGAGCCAAAAATAAATTTAGGATATTGAGTTAATCACAACTAACCTATCAGCTTCATCAAGAATAACAATTTTCTGTCTACCAGGTGGGAGTGTAACTTTAGTTTGCGCGAATGTTTTAATCGTGTTTCTGATAACATCAATACCTCTAAGCATTATATTTACAATATTAGAAGATAATTATTAAGGAATTATGAATCAATTAATAGAATTTTACCTATCATCTGAAGCATTCAGCTCTAATACGGCATCTTTAGCTTGAGGTCCCAATAATTCGTTTGCTAAGCACAGGATACTTGTCGTTTTACCAATACCGGGTGGACCCTACGAAACAATTATTGTTAAAAGGGTTCGTACAACAGGCTAAAAGAGAAATAACTGTAAAATTTTTTGTTACAGATAAAAGCATATTAGGCATGTTTCCTTTTTGTGCTATTATTTGTAATCTGCTGACAACGTCTTCATTTCCTATTACGTCCTTCATTAAAACCGGTCGATATTTTTCAACCCTTTCAAAGAAACAATATTATTATGAACTAATTTATAACGCGTCTTGTTAAAAAGAGTACGATATTCGCGTTAGATACCAGGGGAGCTCAGTGGCATCAACGTTGCCTGGATACTTGCTATCATCATTTTGAACAAATGAAGTATTTTCTGAATCAATTTCCATCACGGTCAAGAGTAAAAGTCGAATGTAAATTGGACCGCGACACTATAAGCCTATTTAAAATTATCCAATTAAACCCTCTGATCAAT